TTTTAAAAAAATAATGAGCCATTTTGAAGTGGCCATCGGCCCCCGACAGATTAGAGGCTGCATAAACTGAAAGACTATCTTGTGGCTTTATGTGCAATATGTATGATTTCCTTTTGCTTTTTATAAGCCAATTCTTCTTGATGTGTAATCTCAATTATGACTTGGCATCAAACTGTGAGTTCACACCAATACTATAAAGTTATTCTAGAAAAGAGCATGATTAGAAAATAAATGGTTAAAACTGAACATCAGCAACTAACACCGACTATAAAGTAGAGAATTTGTTACACGAAGTAAAAGGTCTGAAACTCCAAGAAATAATAACTCAAGAAGCTATGTGCTCCATTAAATAGAAAACCCAGGAGATTAAAGATGTTTAGAATAAGCTTTTGGTTACAGAGCTTACCGCAACCCCTTCACTGCCAGGGAAACTTTCTGTCAATGGAATTTCTTCGCTTGAAGGCAGAAAACCCTGCCTCTCAACCCATTGGCGTGCTACATCAACAAGATTGCCACTGCTCCCTCTTGCACCCTTTTTTGAAGCAATATCTGCCTTGTTACCAATTACAATATAAGGAACAGGAAGACCCCCAGGGCCTCCAGAAGCTAAAGGAGCTGAGAATGTTCCAATTGCTGCAATCTCTTCAGCCCATTTTTGCAAGCTTGCCTTTGTCCTTCTTTGAGAGAGATCATAAACAAAAATAACACCTAAACTAGAAACAAATAAAAATCATCTAATCTGTCTATTGAATTTTAGCCAATAAAGTTGGTCATAAACAAGTAATTGGTGCATGATTCTTTCCTGCACCTTGCAACAAGTCAAAGGAAAGAAAAAACGCTCGAATGAAATGAATAGCCTAATTTGGTAGCACAGAAACAGTTGCAATAAAAAATTGTGTGCCAGTGATATTTTGACCTAAAAATTCAGGTGACAATGTGGCATAGTGAATGGCATTTTAAACATATATGTAACTGAAGGAAATTTTGTGAGTAGGTAAAAGGAATTCTTGTTTTTACAGAACATAAAAATAAATAATAAAACAAAACAAAACAAAGAAAAATAGGATCCTTGCTCACCATTGATCTGTGAGTAGATTATAGATCTGGAATCTTTGTAGCGTTCATGTCCAGATATATCCCAAAGCTCAATAAAAAATTCTCTTTCACTGTCACCTTTGATATTACTTGATGAACTACCAGAATTTCCATAAGTAGTGAGCTGCAAAGAAGGCACTATATAAGACTGGATTTCCATCTGAACCCAGTAACACATTACAAAGAGGGACAAATTATATCCAAGACTCCAAGTCTTACCTTCACGCATACTGAACAGCCAATTGTTTGAGGAGGGCGAGCAACAGAAGAGCCATTAAGAATCAGATGAACAAGAGAGGTCTTCCCCACACCTACCAATATTATCATGTGAAGGTCAGCAATCAATATCAAGGTCAAAGTAGATGTTAAAGTACATAAGAGTATGCTTCAGAAGGTTATACAACTAATCACCAAAGGAGAGTCCTGCAAGGTTTAATAGTCATCTCTGGTTTTAATCACTATCTGTAATACAAACTTGACAAACAAAAAACTATGTGGAATCAAGAGAGTTATTGGGCTAGGGTGGACAAAAGGGATTGTACTCACAGAGTCACAGTCCCCCCAATATCCCCCAAGTCCACTGTTTGGTACACCCGTACAACTGTACAAGCCTGAAGCCACAGGATTGCATCTCCTGGAAGATACAATCCCACGGGGGAGATGAGAAGTGGGATAGAAGGGGAAGATTGAACAATGCACCCTCAATCCCACCTCGACTACCTCTAACTCACTTCGTCATATAGGATGGGTAAGTTATAATATTTTTTTGCTTTAGAGCCATCACTAGTTAACATGGTGTTGTTAGTCATGCCCTTCAATCCCATCACTACTCTAAACCAAAGATAGGATCAACAATTCAGTTCCATATTTTACCCAATCTGGTAATCCCCAGTTCCCCACCAATCCTGATCTCACAACAACTCCCCCCTACCCCAATAGCCCCTATTTTAAACCAAACAACCCCCAAATAGTTCAAATGCCTCTGGTTATACAACAACCTTAGTTGTGAAACACAAGAATATATATTCTGCAGCTGCACACAATTATTACAAAAGTTCATATGCCTTAACTTTATCTCCAATTATCAAGAGGAACCAACAATGTAATATTCTAAACATGTTAATAAAAATGTCTTCCCATGAACCTCAAATGTTGATTAGCAACATATTCTACCATATCGTAAGTCTATGATAGCAAATAGCAACTAAACTTGTAAAAGTTAAATACTTATAAGGGAAAAAAAATGTTCTAAAAGTTCAAACACTCTGGTCCTAACATGTACCTGAACTTTTCTAATTGAGTTGAGTAAAAACAACAACCAAATTCCATCATCCATTGATATATTCGCACATTTCATGCTCTCATTCATTTCCGAATCTAAATGACAGCACATGACATACAGCAAACACATTCCAACCGGCAAAATAATGCAATTTCAAGTAAACGCAAAAAAAAAAAAAAAAAAAAAAAAAAAAAAAAAAAAAAAAAAAAAAAAAAAAAGAATTACCTGAGTCTCCAACAACAAGCACTCTGACATATCCACAAGGCGGACCTCCATTCTGTTCTCTGTCCTCCCTCTCTGTTTCCCTCCAAAACATGTTCCCCTCCAAAACCTAAAAAAAGCTGCAAACACTCGAGCAGAGAAACCCAAATCGCCTTATCAGCTCAAGTCCCATCAAACACGCTCATTCTCCGACAAAAATAACACGCTCCTTCAAATCCGAACCCTTAGCCCATATATCATCCCACAACCGACGGATCAAGAGCGGCCGCAATGCCAATCGATTTTGAACACGAGTAACTGCACAGATGAATACCCTAGATTGGAGGTGGATCTAGAGAGCAATGATTCAGATGGGTCTTGGAGTTTCCTCACTGCGTTCCAGAAAGTAAAACAAAATACATTTTGGCCCTGCTTGGCAATGTTGTTGAGCAGCAGCTTCTTTGAACAACAATATTTGATCAGATCAAACGATTAGGGAGCTTGGTTAAGAGCATCCACATCTAAGGCGTCACGGTGCCGAGTGGAGAATTCTATTCATGCATTCCTTTTTTAGTAAACAACGGTACACCGGAAAAAATAACCGGAAGATATTTGATGCATGTTAAATTACTTAACTAACATACATACATAATTACAAAATTAGCAATTTATAATATTAATATTGTACGGAGTAACATTTATTCATATTCTTTTTTTTTTTTTTTAACTTATTCATATTCTTTTAATTGCCTCATTACATATTATTTGTCCATCATAATTAATTATTAATTCGCCATTTAAATTTTTGTCATTTTACTTTTTTGGAATAAGAGTCAAATAGGTCACTCAAGTGCACACCAAAGTGGGGTCGTTATATTGTGGACCGCGGTGCATTCAAACGGCGCCGTTTCTTTAAGTAAATAAACGGTGCACCGTTAGTTTTAACAGATCGCGCATTTTGTATATGTTAATTATCAACTGACACTACATTATATCAAACCGACACGGACTCACATATTATTTTTATATTATAAAATGAAACTACAGTTATATCAAAATGATATTGTAATTGTGGTGAAATGAAACTGTAGTGTATATAAAATGAAACTGAATAACATTTCACATATTTGAGTGTATACTGTACAATGAAGATGTAATTATATCAAAATGATCATGTAGCTGTGTTTTAATAAAACTATAGTGTATATAAAATAAAATTAAATAATATTTTCACATATTTGAGTCTATAAATATCGAATAAAACTGTATTATATCGAAATAAAACTGTAGTTGTGTTGAACCGAAACTGCAGTGTATACAAAATGAAACTGAATAATAGAGTTACTTTTTGAGAAAGAGTGCGAAACAACGGGAAACAAGTGCCGTTTCTTTTCATTAAACAAAACGACATCGTTTTGATGCCCGATGCATAATCGATTATACACCGCGGTGCACGATATAATTTGCCCACCAAAGTGCAATTAGACCATCGAACTCAAAAATAATGCAATTAGATCCCTAAACAATACAAAATCATGCAATTAGGTACAAAATGACCTTTTAAAAATAAAGCTTTAAAAATTTTTAAATAAAAAATAATTAAAATTTAAAAAAAAAAAAAACATACCGTCTTCGTCTCCATAGCCGGATATAAAGGAACCTTCGTCTCCAGCCATGGAGACATGGTCAATCGTCTCCGTGGCTGGAGACAAAGGTCCTTCATCTCCATTAAAGAGTTTGATCAAGTTCATGGATTAATTTGAAAATTTTCAAATTCGATGCCTTAATTTATTATTTTCATAAAAGTTGAAGGGCGGCATGTTTCACCTTATATTACATACATAATTAAATGTTACAAATTGTTGATTTAATTTTGATCAATTTCAAAACTAATTATATTGTTACAAAAATTAGGTGAGATTGTCTTACCGTAATATGAAAATGTAATATTAATACTAATTAGGAATAACGTATTTATTACTTATATGAATAAGTGCAATACTTTAAAGAAAAAATGTGACATTTTGATTTAAAAGTATTATATTTTTCTTTATAAATACTTTATTTGCATATTGATCCGATCTTATCCGACTCATCCACAAATAAGGATCCATGAAACGATCTCACACAAATGTGACCCTTTGTTAAAATTTTGGAACGTCTATATTTGAATGCTCCCACGCACACCTTAGAGTGAAAACATAATAGAGTTTGTAAGAGCCAGCATGGACAGTTCAACTGGTGAAAGTTGAAAAAAATGACCAGGCATCGAGTTTCACCAGCAGTAGTAGGGGGCTCCTGCGTGCGCAGTTGAATTACCAAAGTTACCATGATTTGGGGCCCTTAGGGTTGGATTCAAACTTTGAAAAGAATAATAGAGTTTGTAGGAGGTTGTTTTTGTAAATTAAATTCCTTCATTATTTCTTTTTGGGAATATTCTCAATTACATTACAAATGAATATTTTATTTAATTTACGAGAGAGCCTGCAACCCTTAATTCGGGAAAATCCCGTTCTATAAGAGCGCTAAGCAGAAGAAGAAGATCCCGGCAAAGACGGCGGTGATCCCACCGCTTCTGGTGGCAGCACTCTCCAACGCAACGGGGAACAGGCAGCCGTTGGTGGAGGCATTATGCTTCACAATCTTGGCCAGCCCTTCGAAGTTGCAAGCCTCCACGTCCTGGTTGTTGATCTGGAAATACATGTTGAACGCGTAGGACGCGCGGCTGGGCATGTCCAGATCGTTGCAGGACGCGCCGGGCACCAGCGCCGAGCAATCCGACATCGAGCAAGCGTACCCGAGGTTACTCCCGACGGCGTGTGAGTCTTTCTGTTCGTTGTCCAGCACGCACCACTGCGCCGGGAGGTACGGCACGTTCTTGGCGCCCACCGGCATCCTGTCGTTCCCGCGGCCGGTGAAGTCGATCGGGAATTTGGGCTTGCCGTCGTACCCGAATATCCCCCAGTGCCGCTCGAACTCCCCCGGCGCTATGCTCTTTGCGTTCTCGTCGGTTAAACTGAAGAGGTAGAACTCCACGACCCCCTTGTGCACCGGCGTGCCTTCCTTCTTCGCCATTTTCCTCAGAAATCCCTTGTAGAATTTCTCCGCCATTTTCATGTTGGCGTTCTTGTTCCCGTCCGTCGGCCACCCGATCTCCCCTACAATCACATTCACGTCCCCGCATTTCGCTTTCCTCAACGACCATATTAGCGTATCCAAGTTAGCATCGAACATATTCGTGTATGTCGCTCCTGAAAAAGTGAAAAAATATTACAAAGATAAAAGAACATACAATAATTCATAATGGACCGACTTATCAAGAACGTCAATAAATCACTTTATCTTGGAGTAACTTATAACCTTGTTGATAAAAGAATATTTATGACCATACTCATAGCATATACCTGGTCAGTACCAGGTCCACCCACAGGGCAAGACCAGATCTGATCATGATCGAGCTTATTACGCGCTCGACTGACCTTAATTTCAGACCAAGTGCAACTCCATTGGTCAGCATCGACGACTACTCTATCCCGACGTAATAAGGTCGGGACTGGACATCCGACCGACAATCCTTATAGCTTTCTGGCTAGGTCTTCTAGTTGAATCCATGGGTGGCGTACCCCGTACTACTCAAGAATCCTGGATCAAGAAAGGCCCCGACCTTACCCTAGTGCATGCAATCCACCTACCAAGCATGCCAAAAGACCTACAAATGTCCCCTTAACTCTCCTTAATTATAAATACGGCATTAAAAGAAGGAAGATGGACTTTTGACAATTTTTAAATTTTTACTTTAATCCGAGAATTTTTGACCCATTATCACCTAATTATAATTGACTATGACCCAAATCGAATCCAACAAGAACCCGTAGGAATCAGTAATATTCCTGTATTTACTACATCACTTGTGATTACCTAATAGAAGTTAGTCTTGTGGTTACAAAAACCTGACTTTTAATTTATTTGCTTAGATTTACCTTTGTCATGAACGGACTTGGCGCGGCCGTCGAAGAAGGCGAACTCGACGGGGAAGTTCTTGTTTTCGTAGAGACTAAGGAAAGGGTAAATGTTGACCATGAATGGAGCTCTGTGGTCCCGGAGATAACGGCAAATCTTGATCATGAGATCCCTGATGTCCGACCGGAAATTGCCTTCGGACGGACCGCCGGTGCCGGATGCGTATACGTCAGCGTTTTGGGGGATGGTCGCTTTGATCTTATTTCCAAGACCGGCTTCATCGAGAGCCTTCTGGATGTTCTTCAATGCCGGAAATACTAGATCCTTGAACGATCCATTGTACGCCTTCAAGAACGGCTCATTTCCAACGGCTACGTGCCTGTCATAATATATTAAGTGCATGCATATATGAAACTAAAAACAGTAAAATATAGGAAAATATTCATTTCTTTTTTTATTAAATCCAAAATAAAATGGTCAGACGGATCAAGAAAATCATCTGGGTGGAACCCAAGTTTAAATGACCTTAAAAATGCCAGATAAAATAATTTGTCTCCACAGTGACTCTGCCTATGATTTGATGAAAGATCATATGGATAGATCTAGTGGTCAAGTGGCATAAAGTGATATCTGTTCGAGCCTTTGTAACAGTGTCACACACAAATTTTTACGTTTTTCCAAAATATTTTGATGCACTTACTTGATCTTGACGCCTCCATCGTGTATATGGGAACTAATATTTGCCTTAACCCAATCCTTGGCATTGTCAAGATCATCGGCAAACCTCTCGAGCTGATTGTTGGGGATACCGGGAAGGACCTCGATGCCGGTGCCGGCGAAGAAGTTGACAGTCCAGTGGTCGGAGTCGAAGAGCTTGACTTTGTCAATGTGGTTGTCCTTGAGCATCTGGACGATGATGGAAGGGTTCAGAAACTGGGCGGCTTGGGTGCCCCAGTTTACGCCCAGCCCATGCACCGGCGAGGCCAGCAAAATGACGGCGAAACCGGTCCATATTGCGAGCCTGACCCCACCGACGACGGGCTGCGGCATGGTGTGGTTGCGTTGAAGAGGCTGGCCGGGCATGGAATTATTATTGAGGAAATATAATAATGATAATGCTGCTCAGCTGGGATCGAGACGGATCGCATCCGAGAGATGGTAATGGATGAGTGTATTGTACAGTGAAGGACTGTTGCATGTGAGCTTGCGCGAGGGAGATAGGAGAACCGGTAGTAGCGAGAGTTCAGAGAGAACGCGGCACAACCGCAGTCAAACGGAGAAGATTATGGGCAACCACTCCTTTTAAAAAACATAACACACCAAAACGAAAACCAAAGTATGGGTAATAGAGTTGGAATTAGAGGCAGAGTTGGTCGATTATTAGTTTGATAAACACAATATTGCAAAAATTAGGCCAAGGCACGATTAATCAGCGTCTAGGCACTAAACGTCCCTAAATCGTGGTGGTTTCTCCCGTTGGGCCTAACTTGACCGACTAGGCCGAGTTAACTCATCAATTTCTGTCGAGTTAGTCGAGTTAACTTGGCCGATCGGCCTTGCTAATTTGTTTTCATATATATATATATATATATATATATATATATATATATGTATGTATGTGTTTAATATGGCATATGTGCACCTACACATGTGCACTATTTTTCTTTATTTTAGTTAGTTGCCTAGATTGTCTAGGCACTAAGTGTTACTCTACTGCTCAACTAGCGCCTAGCGCCTATTGCAACCATGGATAAACACAAGATTTTAGATTTGATTTCTAGTGGGGTAGTTTATTAATTTATTTTAATTTAATTTTTGTTTAAATCAGTTAATTATAGATAGTCTATGCGTGTTTACCTCATTGTGCTCCTTTAATTTGCTTGCTATAATTACAATGAAGTTTATTCCATGCACACTCTTAGCTAATAGCTACAAGTTTTCTTCATCATTCAAAAAAAAAGTTGAAATTAAGTTAAAAGAAAGTAATCATGTAGATGAAACATGATTTTTGTATCAAAAGATCACAATTTTAATTATGACTAAAATAGTAGGTAGTAACATCCTCTCACCCGTCAGTGGGGGTATTGTTGATTTGATAAAACTTTCATGCCGTTCATTATATTTTGTATGTCTATTTATATGTTGCTGCACAATTTGAATTTTCATTCACCCTCCACGGCGCGTTGGATGCACCCAGAAATTTAGAATGGGAATTAATTGCAAATCCATAAAAGAGTGAATAATAGAAGAATGAAGTGTCGATTTGATAAAACTTTCATGCCGTTCATGCCACTATATTTTTAAAATTATCTTCCTTAATTTTTAATCTGCACTGGATCAATTGATGTGATTAAATCAGATTTTTTACCTAAAGAATGCTGTGATCCGTAATTTATATATAGAGCAAATTACATTTTTGGTCCTGTGACTATAAGGAGTGTGTTAATTTAAGTACATGACTTTTAAAATTAACAATTTAGTTCTTTAACTATCATTTTTTTAGCAGATTTGGTCCTCCCGGCCAAATTGTCGGTGGAATTTGGCCGGAAAGACGTTCGACTTTTTAAATCAAATATTGGTGGGGGTAATTCGGTTCAACAATTAAAAAGACCGAATTACCCCCACCAATATTTTATTTAAAAAGTCGAACGTCTTTCCGGCCAAATTCAACCGGCAATTTGGCCGGGAGGACCAAATCTGCTAAAAAAGTGATAGTTAAAGGACTAAATTGTTAGTTTTAAAAGTCACGTACCCAAATTAACACACCCTATATAGTCACAGGACCAAAAGTGTAATTTGCTCTTTATATATATTTACGAACCTTGAAACATTGATTAATTTAAAGAGGTGAAAGTAGATTAAGCTGGACTGGATGTGATTAAATCATATTTTTTACCTAAAAAATGTTGTGATCCGTAATTTATATATATTTACAAACCTTGAAATATCTGATTAATTTAAAGAGGTCAAAGTTTTTTTTTTTTTTTTTTATTTTTAAATAAAGAGTGTACATGTTAGCCTGTTAGGTACACCGTACACATCAACCTTGCTTAAGGTTTAACAAATAACAACAACAATAATTTTTTTTTTTAAACAAATAACAATAAAGAAAATAAAAATATATTTGAGTTAATACCCAATATAGTCATCGACTATAGTGACTTTACTCAATTTAGTTATAAATAATCTTTTGTACTCAATTTAGTCTCAGACTTTGATAATTTTACACGATTTAATCATTTGTTAAAAATTATGTTAGTTAACAGTTATAAATAATGTCCTAATTAGGGGTGTTCAATCGGTTAACCGAACCGTTTTAACCGAACCGAATTAACCGATTTTTTTTTTTCCTTTAACCTTTAACCGAACCGAAGTTTGCTCTACCGAATTCACCGAACCGACATTTTTTTCGGTTAATCGGTCGGTTAACCGATTAACCAAACTTTTAAAGCTAAAATTTAAAATTCTACAAATAACACCTAAAATAGTAAATTCAATTAAAATAAAATAAATATCATAATAAATTCATAACAAAATATAAAAAACATGAATTATAAACTCCAAACATCCATAACTTTAAATTAATATTTATATTTATATTATTATTTATACATAAATTAAAAACTTCGGTTAATTCGGTTAACCGACCTTTCGAACCGAATTAACCGTTAACCGAAGTTTTAAAATTCCTTTAACCATTAACCGAACCGAAAAATTTCGGTTCGAAAACGGTTAACCGAACTTTGTCGATTAACCGAAAATTATCCGAAGCTTGCACAGCCCTAGTCCTAATGATTTATCTTCCTTCATCTCATTTGGGATGATTCCTTCTTCCCCCCTTATTAAGATCAGCGCAGAAATGGAAATGATTCATTTTCTTCCCCTTATTTATTTAGGGTTGAAGTTGATTTAGAGATGAAGATCTCAATTTCTGCGTATAATAAGGGGAAAAAAATGAATCATTCAAAATGGGATGAAATATGAGAAATTACAGTTAGGACTTTATTTATAATCATTAGTTAATTGAATTTTTAATAAAGGACTAAATAGTGTAAAATATCAAAATTAATGATTAAATTGAATTAAAAAAATCATTTAGAATTAAATTGAGTAAAATCACTATAGTCAGTATACTAGTTATTAACTCAAATATATATTGAGTTAATACCCAAAATCGTCTTCGACTATAGTGGTTTTTCTCAATTTCGTCCTAAACGACTTTGGTGACCTAATATCGTCCCAGACTTTTGCGTTTCACTCAATTTAGTCCCAGACTTTTGTGTTTTTGCTCAATTTAGTCCCTCATTTGTTATTCTGTCCATTTAGTGTTAAATAAATAGACAATTCAGTAATTTTAATATTGGCATCTCTTTACTCATAGACATGTGAACTGCGAATTTTTTTTTTTTAACGAATTACTTCCAAAATTACTCCTAAAACTGCGAATATAAAATTTAATTTGCAGGTCCGGGAGTAATTATGGGTGTAATTCGTACAAGAAAGAGGAATTTCGCACTTCACAAGTTGAAAGTAAAGAGATATCAATATTGACATTACTGAATTGTCCCTTTATTTAACACCAATTTAATTGAATAACAAATGGAGGACTAAATTGAGCGAAACACAAAAGTCTAGGACGATATTAGGTCACCAAAGTCGTTTAGGACGAAATTGAGAAAAACCACTATAGTCGAGGGACGATTTTGGGTATTAACTCAATATATATTTATATTGACACAGAAGAAAAGGATAGCAAGTTAGCAACGGCTTCGAAGCAGGCAACAAGCCCAGGAGTGTACTTCACTTGAATTCGCACCTTAGCTGCTACAAGTCTACAACTCGCCTCCCTTCCAGATTGCCGCCATTAAAGCACCACAGTTTTCACTGTATGTCTCTTCCTCTATCTCTCTACGTACATTTATACGCTTGAGATTGTAATAATTCAAGCTTTCCTTTATTTATTTATTTGTTTTTGAAAATTACCTGAAAATTCCGTTTCGGCTGAATTTTGTATGAGGAGCGGAGGTTTTGAGCTTCAATGGGACCTATTACGTTGGCTGTGAATGCGAAAAATTCGTTGGTAGCTCCAGGTAAGTTTTGTTGGAATTTTCTGCTAAACATTTGGTTGAACCACTTGTGTTACGGTTCGGAGCGTATATATGTAAAATGATAGAAGTAGATGCTGAATGGCCATAGATTACTGGTGAATTTGTTTGCAATTTGGAGGATAAAGAATCTGGCTATATTGATTGTGTTAATGAGGCAGGCTTGTAAATTTAGTCAACTAAGGATGCTACTAATTGATTGGTGGCTTGAACAGAGGATAACAGTAAAGCCATGGTTTTCGTTTGTGTAGTGTGGTTGGCAGTTTTGCTGTTGTTTACCTTTGAGTAAAATGGGAAGGCATTATCTATTGAAATTTTGGAACTTGCCATCAAACTCCTCAAATAGTGGTAAGTTGCAAAGGGGTGGCTAAGTGGGTGGAACATGATTCTTGTGTATAAAGGTCATGAGTATGATTCTTGATCGAGACCATAGCACAAGTTTTTCCTAGTGTAGTTACCTCTAGCGGGGTTTGCCCCGTGCACACCCTTAAGTAGTAGCTGCGGTTTCCCTCGTCACCCCCCCAAAAAAAATTATAGTAGTAAGTTATTGAAGCTTGCAATTTGGATGAAGGGACGGTATTACATAAATTGAATCTCATGTTTGGATGTAGGCAATTATTTGATTTACCTTTTATATTAGTAAGTATGCTATTAATTATTTTCTGAATCAATTTGATTTTGCAGATGCATCTAATAGAAAAATGGAAAATCTTCCGATGAACCCAAGAAAGTTCTTTGCTTCAATCAATAAGGAAGAAGAGAAGCCATTTGATTTTTTCCGCATATTATTCGGTATGTTCAAGCTGATGGTGAACACTTAGTAGTAATTACCATATCAGTGAATCATGTGCACACATTCAAATATCAGAAGCTACTTGAGTGAAAGAAAAGTACTGCAATGATGGTCTTGCTGATAATTGACTACCATGGAACGTTAGCTAGCCACAAATTTGCATTCTTGTTCCTTTCAGCAATTTATTGGAAGGTTGAAGTAAAGAAACAGGAATTTGTAATAACACCAACATCATATAAATTGTACCTTGCATATCAAACAAAC